AATACAATTTAGGAATACCAAGACACGGACTAAGTTTTCTCTATTCGTTTCTTATAATTTACTGCTATCTTATAAGATAGTCAATACTGAAATAATCACTCTATGAACTGTCACGTTCGTATGATCCTATTTTTCGTTATTCTGCACACGTCGTAACTTTCACAGACATGCGATAACTATATATGAATAATGTGAAAATAATCTCTTTCCATGGAAACCTTCGTAACGATATGACTTCAGAACAAAAAGTTCATTTTGTACTTATTGCTTGGCACTCAAAGTGAGAAAACCCGAAGCTTCGAAAGGAACCCCACACGGATTTCCGTATTATATACAATAAGTAGGAAAATATTGCCTCTAACGCTTGATCCATGAGTTTAAGCGTTACACGCTTACTTCTAAAATCGAGGAAAACAGTAACGTTGTTTCTTTCTTTCTTTCTTTCTTTCTTTCTTCATCATCATTATCATCATCATCATCATCATCATCATCATTATCATCATCATCATCATTATCATCATCATCATTATCATCATCATCATCATCATAATCATCATCATAATCATCATAATCACCATCATTATCATCATCATCATAATCATCATCATCATAATCATCATCATCATTATCATAATCATCATCATCACTGTCACACATTCAACGTGTATAAAATCTTATTCTCATAAATCAATAGACTGATCTAAATAATAAGAACTCGATTATTACCGAAATCTACAACTGCGATCCTACCATCGGGGCATAAAGCGATGCCGGATGGTCTATCCATTTCATCGTCACCCTTCCCGTAGCTGCCGAATCTCCATTTTAATATGCCGACCGGATCGAAAACCTGTATTCTATGGTTTCTGGAGTCGGCTATAATAATATTACCATCGTCGTCGATCACTAAACCTTGTGGTCTTAGGAACTGTTTTGAACCGTTTGCGCATTCGCACTCGAAAACTCTAGCATGCATAAAATCAGCGTCAATAATTACTACCCTATGATTATTAAAATCTGTTGTAACAACATTGCCTTCTGGATTAAACGCTACACCGCGCGGGGAATCGAAGTGTTTCCACATGTTCGGCGCTGACTCGTAGCCATACTTTCGTAGGAACACACCTTCCGGGCTAAATAATTGGACACGATGATTCCTAGTGTCGGATACGACTATTTGACATTCAGTATTTACTGCTACGTCCCACGGATAGTTAAACTGTCCACATCGGCATCCTTTATCACCAAAACTTAGAAGGAATAGGCCTTCCATTGTCAACACCTGGAGAAAGTGGAAGTTCATTTTAAACGAGTTCAATTCGAATTTGCAAATTTTCTGTTCAATGGAATCGATCAACTCTGTATTGTATCTCAATGTTTTCATTTTTCTTTATATTCGTTTGACCAAGAAATGTTTAATTTTATTTCTCGCTGTATAAATTAGGAATATTCTTAGTGTAGAAGTGAGAAGAGGTACGAAGACGAAAATAAAAGTGAAATTTTCTTAATGAAGTAAAATATAACAAGAACAGAATCCTACTATCGATGAAAAAGAAACACTTTAATCGTAATGACGAGGATTTCTCGTGATTGTGAAATATTATGGAATACCAAAATATAGTTTGTTTTATAACAATAAGAAAGATAACGTGAAAACTCGAATGTTTAATAACATGGAATCAGTTACAACATTCAGATCGCTTAAATTAAGATCGCGCATAAAAGCTACGCGTAAATCGAGAGTCAGTTGTACGGTTTTTCCGTAAACGGACGAAAATTGATTTTAAGGTACCAAATTTATTTCTACACCCAGTACGTAATATTCATGATCATTACCTGTATACGATGATTATCTTTGTCCGCTACAACTATACGACGACGTGCATCGACCGCTACACCAGCTGGCCGGTCGAATTGTCCTGGCGCAGTACCATGGCTACCAAATCTTCTCAGGAATACGCCATCTTGTCTGTATATTTGAATGCGATTGTTTGATCTGTCTGCAACCACTATGTGTCCTTCTCTGTCACAAGCTATACCCCATGGTCGGCAGAGATTATCTTGTGCATCGCCATCGTTCCCAATAATTTTAAACGGTTTCACTGATAAATCGGAATTACGATTTATCCGAACCGTGACTGGGAAACTATTCGAAGGGACTGGCCTGCCTCGAGGCACGGAATTGGATATCATAGGAGCTGCTGCTTGCCTAAGAAATATCTGCGGTGAATTGCCTCGACCTCTTACGGCTCGACGGTCGCCTATAGGACCAGGATTGTTCACCACAACCGCTCCAAGGTTCGCAATGGCATTTAGTATAGTCCCTTCCAAGCCGTTGAACGAAATCCAGTTCTCCTCTTGCGAAGGAAGACATTGCCGGCTTTGGCGTATCTGGAAAACCTATAATTAATGAAAGCAATATACTGAAATATCAAGCATTTGTAAAAGCATTGTGACATAAGACTGACTCTGGCAGTACTTCCAGCCCCAAAAGCGACTTTTGAAAGGTGACAATGTATAAGACAAAGTAGTTAGCATTTAATTTTTAAGCGGAACAGAAATGAAAATATTCTAACTGTAGCTCTATTTGAAAGAATTAAAAAAGAAATTTGAAGTTGTATGTTTGTAACGTTTAATACGTGGTTCTTATAATTCCAAATTATTGTGTGCTCCGAATTTTATTTATTCTACGTTTAGAAATGCTTTGGTTTCAAATTTTCAGATCAGAATAATAGTAAGCCCTATATTAAAGTTTTGTTTACATATGTATCTACTAATGGCTAATTCTACTTATACTATTGTTTGTAAAATATACAGATATTATTTTCATGCAATATTTAATTTAGAAAGTAAACTATGTTACTGGTAAATGAAATGTCGATTTACTAATACTACCTCAGCCGAAGCCATGTCCTTAGTAAGTAGCAAGTTCAGTGGATTATTAGCCAGTGTTTTAGACTCCATTGCTTCGCTAAGTTTGTCTGCAGCACGTGATAATCGAGATATTCCATTCCTAAGCCCCTCATCTCTTGCTTTCAGTGCAGCAAATTTGAGAAGCCTAGCCTTTTCAATTTTACCTAATAACTCCTTTTCCCTTGTTTCTAAAGCTGAAACCACTCTCCTTATACACAGCATTACATCAGCAGTTGCTTGCCTTGCTTTTTGTTCCAAAATTTCAGCTGCTATCTGTACAAATATATCATAGAATTATAAATAAAAGCTTTCTACATCGCTATAAATAAAATCTACAAAATAAAGATATTTTATATACAGAATTATTTATACATGTAAATTAGCGAACGAGATAAAATTCAAGAGATTAGTGTTAATATAGCAATAGAAGGCTCGAGTCTTCGAGCTTAACACAAAAACTACCGAGCATTTAATACGATTGTTATATGATCTCTATAAAAATTGTAACAATAGATTATTTTCTTTTTCTTCGAACATTCATTGTAGTATTCAAGTGAAACTATTTATTTTCAAGATCGTTTCGAATGTTCAATGCTTTTAGATGAGTTAAGTTTGGTAGTTCCAGCGTTGAAGACTCGAACGTTGAAGACATCTGCTTTTAGAGTTCAAACCTTGAGCGCTGAATCTCTAAAGGCTCGAGTCGCAGCTGCAACTTTCAAGGCTCAGAGCTCATTTTACGACACTAACTTGCAGAGATAATTCTACACTTCCAGTTAAACAGAACACCTTACAGAAACACTTATGTATATACTTTTTAAAGAATATCCTTACTTGTACAGCATCAAGTTCATCCCTAAGGGCTGTGATTCCAAGCTTGGCTTCATTCAATACTTGATTTGCTTGCATCCCTGCACCTTCAACAGCTTCCATTAAGTTCACTGTAATATGACCATGATGATGGTGAATTCCACATTCCCCACAGAGGGGCTTACTGCATGTTTGACAATAAAATTTTTGAGCGTCGCGGTGCGCATCACAAAAGAGGCTCAATCCTGCAGACGATAAGTTCGGCGTGTTGATTATAGGAGAGCTTGGAATTTCTGTGAGTATATTCTGCAATGAGTTGTGTTCGTCTTCATGATTTAGATCAATTGCATTCTACAAACAAACAAAAGTAAATTGTATTAATTCAATGACGCATTAAATTCAAATCGTATATTATAGGAATATTAACAAAAAAGATTACATTACTCGAGAAATTTTTATTTTTCGCGGATATGCAAGAATTCGTCTTGATTAGATTCTTAACAGAAAATTTGCACAACATTTAAATTATGTAACATACATTTGATAGTAACTCGTTTGCTACCGGGTATTGTGACGGTCCATATTTCATGTTTTGTGCAAAGAGTAAATTACATTTATGTGTGTTTTTATCTAATACTGTAACGCATGCTATACATAAAAGTCAAAGAGATTTTTTTCTTTAATATTATTTGTATTTTGTAAAGATGATATATTTCATTTAATAAAATATTGTAACCGCGGAAACTATTATTGGAAGAAATGCTGCTAGCGAATGGGTTAACAATTGCTTGAGAACAGTTTCAACAGGAAAATTGATATAGAATAAAAATATTTAGTGCTGTAAGTGGCAGAGATTTCTTTTCTTGGATATTGCTTGTACTTTGTAAAGACGATATATTTTATTTAACGAAATATTGTAACCATGGATGCTGCTATTGAAACAAACGCTGGTAGCGAATGGATTAAATATACTTACTAAGAGTTGACCAGAAGAACAAGTGTCGCAAATTGTATCGGCGCAGTCCCTGCATTTGTTAATTGAATTTCTACTGTGTGAGAACTGTGAAGAAGTCGGCCCGTTAAAATTATCGCCATTCACGACTTGCAGTAGACTGTTAATCAAGGAGTCAAGGCTCAGGTCATCAGGTGATTGACCATAACACTGAGAATTTGTGCTACTTCCCGAGGATGCGGTACCCGGTGAACTAGCATTAGAGTAACCAGATTTGGCACACTGCCAGGGGGATTTATTTGTCATCTGAAGCAATTTAAACAATAAACAAATATGACACTTTGAATTATATGACTCGTGATATGTGCTACTTTATTACATATAAAATTTATTTGAAATGTATTTAAATATTAAAAAAGATACATAACTATATTGTTGTGGATTAATGATAATGAAACTGATGTCTTTTGAATAATACTGTTCACGTTAGTATAGCCCCTTATTATGTTTGGCGTATGAGTGTTTAATCTTATTTTTAATTTATTTACATAGATACTATTGTATATAGGATATATAAGAGTAAGTGGACAAAAGTTCAATGCATACCTTACAACCAAATTCTATGTCTTGTTCCTTTTCTTGATTTTCATGAATGTATTTTCCAAAAAAATTTGTATTACGGGTATAACTTTTCCCACGATTCATTGTGAATTAAAAAGGAATTAAAATCCGTATAGAAATTCGGTTAGGATCTCAGCTCGTCGCGATACTTTCACCTGAAACGAAAGAATCACTAATAAAATTATGTTTGTTATATTTTTCCATAACATTCATTACATTAAAATTATTATTACACCTTCCATTAAAATGATTTTCATAATATTAGCTTTGCACAGGAATAATGTCGTGACTCGTGAAATCGAGAATTTGTATCAATTTTCATTAATACAAAACGGAACTCGTTAATATAATAAGCAAAATGATATTCACATTTTAAATATTTATTTGAATATTGCATAAAGAGATTCTTCGTACATTTTTATATAAAACAAGTCATTTTTTTAGTTAATTATAGCATATCAGAAAATTAATGAATTCTTGGAAGATGGACGAAGAAACTGGATATACTAGTCAGCTCACTTATAATTTCCTTAATTAACTACAGAATTTCAAAGATGAACGAAACATCATCTCCAGTTTTAAAGAAAAATAAAGAACATTAAATTATTTTTATTATAACAGCTTATAATTTTCCAAAAAAGAATACAAAATCATAAATAAAGAGATCAAAGGTGCATGACTGTAATAGTAAGGCAAGGGGTTAAAAAAGGAGGCAATATGCGTATTTTTTATGCATTACGTTTACATTATTATAAACAATTTTTTCCCTAATATGAATTTACAACAGAAAATCGGTTTCTATAGACATTACTGGAGAAGAAACCGGTCAGAAAGAGCGTCGGAATGATTGTCATTTCAGAAAAGTCGAGAAAATACCTATCGGTGATCTGCACGCAATTTTACCGCCGTACGACCGTTGCTTACCTGTCTCGATTCATCAGTACTGTAGCTATGCTCAATCGACATCAACAATACCGTCTAAAAGGTACCTATTCTCTATATTTATAATAATATAAGTATGCTTTTAACACATACCCATACACTAATCAGAAAATTACGAAAAACTTTACCTGATCATCCTAAAACAAGCATAGCAGATTATTTCAATATATTTATTTTACTTTGCTTAAACTTATCAAGTATTACGAGACGTCTAACGATGTATATTTTTTCAAAGAGCGTCTGTGAAAAGAACTCTTATTTTTTCCGTCTTCATTAAACTTTAAGAAGTTGTTACTTTACTGGAAATATCTTTTTATCATAGGAACCTAATGATAAGTATTATTTAATAAATTTTAAATAGTACTATATTCTGGAAAGTGTTTTAAATTTTATAAAATTATAATAAAAGGAAAAGCTTGTCTTTAACTTCGAATTCTATTTGTATGAAAAATATAGATTGTATTGATACATTTAACAAAAAATTTCTTTTCAATTTCGTAATTATGTGTTACTGTCAGTATCAATAACGAGTAGATACGGCACTGACAAGTGGAGGCGAGCGTGCAATGGCCGCATGGGGGTGAAACACCGTACACTTTGCCGACAGATATCTTCTCTGTCCAAATTGAAAATCATTCCTTCATTTTTCCTACATATTTCTTTTTAACCCTTTAGTTCCCACGGTGACATCGCTTTGGGACCATATATTTCAATGAAAAATGCGAAACTGTAGACTAATCGCGAAATCACCAGTATAAAATTGATATAATAATCGTCCTCGCATTATTATTAGTATCAGTTCCTATAAAAGTATTTATTTTTGTTAAACGTTTGCATTTAGGACCTAAAGGGTTAACTAACATCTAAGTACTTACTGTGGCATACTGAATTGATCACTTCAAGTGAGTTCATACAGATATCTCTTGCATTTTGGAAATAGAACGATGTAGAAGATATGAGATTATTTAGAATAATAAACGAACTAATGCAAATTCTGTTTAATGTGATTTTTTGTTGTGTATTCGAGAGCCCGTTTTTAAAAAGTTGTTTCTAAACATGTTCCGACGACAGTTAGTCAAACGCAGGTGTACTCGACAAGTTACCAAACTGGATTCTCTTAAAAACGAGATGTCGAATAAAAAATTTTATTCTATATTTTTTATATATTTTTTTACGTGGAACATCCTGTCGATTATACCACCCTTATTCATTCGTATTCAAAAGCTGTTAGAACCAGGGTACAAAAACTCTTTTTATAGGCACGGTACCAAATGAAGAAATTATATTTTACGTTATCGTCTTTCTATTGTAGAATGACACCCTTCCGGGTTAAAGTACCAATTAACATATAAACAGATATTGTTCACCGTTGCAGTTTGAAAATTATAAACCGTTCATCTTATAACAAAATATTTGAAAATTGAAAATCGATTATTAATTTCCATTTCGAGTTCAATGTGTGCTATTTTTATGTTGTTGTTGTTGTTGGTGTATGTAATTGTTTTTATGTATGAAAACATGAGATGGTTAAAATATCCCTTCATAGACGTTATCATAGGACATTCATACCAGTTCTTGAAGATGAATAAAGATACATACGATGAAGATAACTAATAGTTACAATAAAAATAGTAAAAATAAAAGTATTACAATAATACTGTCCCCATTCATAACACAGTTTTACGTGTGAGTATCTATATATTCCGATATCCTTTAAATTCAAAGTCTCAAGAATAATATACAATTTTAATACATACATTTTTAACTATTCGTTTCACGTTGCAACAGTATTATTTAATAATATTATTACACGTGTGTCGCGTTTAACATCATCTGTACATAACCCTCTATCAACAGATATGTTAAAACACACCCCTTTCGCAACAAATATTTTCATTTTATCTAAGAAGTATAATACACATAATTAAATTCTGATTACAGAAGAAATTTCCAGAACTCGTTACTGTTTACTAGTTGCGAATTAAATCAAAATCATTCACAGGAAGTCAACGGTAGAACATTTTAAATCGTTCGAATGTCCCCTTGTTCCAGTTTCAAAGATGAACACCCCTACACAGCTGGTTCAAGGTCATCATACAAGTCCCTAGTAGGGAAGAACGGTGATACCCTTTCAGTTCGAGGATGGAGAAATGGGGTTCCGCTTTCATTCCGAAGACTTTGCAGAAATCAATAACAGTAGGAAATTCGACATTACTTCATTCATATACTATGCGTGTGTAACCCTAACAGGATACGAGAATCTTGCTTTCGTCATAAATTTTCTCTGTTACTATCTTCTTTTCGACTATCATAAACATTCGAAACGTTTCACATACGTAAAACAATTGTAAATGCGTTTATGTTGTACTTGTTTCATATTGTGATGAAAATATTTGAAAGAATACGCAGCTTGTGCCTCGAATTTTCCTTTGCAACTAAACTGTATATTCATTTTTTTAACAAATTACATTGTGAAATATAGAAATCTACAGTCCAGTGAATTTATAGATTGTATAAATCTTTAATTGTAGGAAAAATGTTTGACGGAGGTTCTTATGAGAAAAGCAACTTATTTGTAACGTCGAAAAATTTGCAAGATTTTTCAATGCTTTTCTGAATTGAAATAGCTATTTGCTTTGCTTTTATGAATATAAATAAGTAGCTTAATGGCGTTTAATGATGACAATAATAATTAAGCATTAATGTTCATAACTATATGTATTTTCATTGAACTATGACTGTCATAATTACTCGAATACAATATAATAATTCATAGATGTAAACGTTCCATTGATTTTTGGTTTAATCGCACAACGTCTGTAAATATATATTTTTACTACAAATACTTATATTTTTAAATAATTGTACAGTAGCTGCTTTGCTCACGTACAGGGTACTTATTCGTATAGTAATAATTGAACGGTAATTTATAATCATGTTATAATCGGTATTTGTAATCGGTTTTCTATAATCATTTAAATGATTTAAAAGGAAAATAAAAACAGTTCGAAATACTTTTTACAAACTCTTCTTTTTCGAAGTTTTCAAAATTATGGCTGAGCAATTTTTAGACAAATTATATAATACAATAGGAAAATATAGATGCCACTATATAAATAAATTTCATTCAAAAAGAATGAACAACATTAACATGAAAACATTTGTCCATATATTGACAAATTGTTTTAATATATATTTATAGAGACAGATATATGCCTTTATTTAGTATACATGCACTGCAAATATCTATAGTAGGTTGATCAATATAACTCATTGTCAGTACATACTTCAATGTTTACCACCACTGATTAACCTTTCCAAGAAAACATAAGTATATCAAATAACAAAAGCTTATGCTACTAGTATATTTCAAAACAATTAAGAGAACAACCATGAACGTACATCTTAAGCACTGAATATTTTAAACGTTTATTAACCCCTTGTCCTATGACTTCTTGCACAACTGTGCTTGATGAAACTATATCTACGTTTACTTTAAAGACTAAAGATTGATAATAGACAAGTAATATTTCATTTATATGAAAAATAGATTAATAACATTTACATTTGTTAAAATTTTCACCATGAATCTGACTTGATATTATAGAAAAAGGGGTTAACTTTATGTTTACAGATGTTTATTGTACAGTTTGTTCTATTGTTCCTAAAAAAGTTGACATTCGTTTGTTCATTACGTTTGCGTAATTGCATCGATCAAAATCAATATAAACATTTACCAAGATACGTTTATAAAATTTAATGTGCGCAAAATTGGCGAGTTTATGTAACTATTAAATTTTATATAACCATTCTGATTTGAGTTTTTGAGTTTCGTAAAAATTTTTAGCGTTTAAGCTCGATTGAAGACCGCAAGTTAGATACGCTTCAGTACATTTTTATGCCCGTCAAAAGAAATCATAGAAGGGAAATGTAATCATGCAAACAAATATCAATACCCTTAAGAACTTCGAAGAAAAATAAGCTTCGGGGAAGATTTTTTTTTGGACTACACTTTCCTTTCGAAACCGTTCAAATAATTCCCTAAAACATTTTTCCGCGCGACTGAATACAAAAGAGGTATTCGAGAGGTCGAGGTTTAATGTAACATCCTATATGTGTATATTATAAATACATTGTACATTAACATCTTATTATTGCATATTTGAAAGCGTATGTTGCAAAAATATTATAATAATATTTTAGTGAAGTGCTGTTTTATTCCTCAAAACGGTGAAATTTTAATTAGCTTTCATAAAGCTATTATTTTCTTTAGTATAGCATTAACTTAATAAAATTAACTAAATCTAAAGAATTTTAGTGCAACATTAAGGAACGTTCTGATTTGAATTTGTTTTTGACATAACATTTAAAACTTATTTTTGAAACACAGATCAATTTTTGCTTAATTTTCTTATACATTTGTAACATTATAAGTTACCATGTGTTGTTATACGTTTTCATCCAAGCTCGGAAAATCAATATAAATTTTAATTTATATAAGTACAGACCTAGTTTGTACGAAATGTAGAAAAATAAAATTACAGAATACAGTTTCTTCGAATGTTTGAATTATCGAAGATTCTTAAAAGATAAATTGTTGAAAATATTTAGAGAAGGCTGTAGTTGAGCGAAAAATTTACATTAAATAGGAAAACGGTTTCCAAGTGAACATAGGTTGAATTTTCCATAGTCGCAATTTTGCGTGGGCATATTTTTTGCTTAATTTCTCTAATGTCATTACTTTATTCAATTCCAGGATAACATACCGAAGGAGCCTATTTCCGAAACGCAAAATCATAGTACCTACCGTCCGATTTTATGAGAATGAAAACGCTACAAGTTAGGCCTGCAAACTTTTCCCTTTTCGTTTTTCCAGCAGCTGGTCTGCAGCAGTTAGAGGGTGCTATCCTTGAAATCGCCATGGCGACCAAGGTTAGACCTGCTATTCTCTCGGAGGGTCAAAAAGAAAGAGAAAGTGAAATATCTGTCATTTGCTACATAGAAACTCCGTAACGCGCAGCTTCAGAATTACAAACTAAAACAGTAATACGCACGTAGCACATACAACAATCTTTGTATTGCAGTATCATTACTGAAGTATTAAATATAAACGCCTTTAATTAATTGTTTTAATGGAAATATTGAATGTATTATCGTAACAAGCATAATGGAACTTTAATAAAAAAAAAGCTAGATATAATAAAACCTTAATTTTTATACACAATGGAACTTTATGCTTCGAAATATGCTGCAACTTTTTTAAATACATCCAAAATGATTTATATTGAATTCTTTAGACAATAAAACTTTCAATCAAATATTATAGTTTTGCGAAACATTAAAATAAATAGATTATTCCCGTTTATAAATATTTTAGTTTAGTATAATATCTCGAAATTTGTGAACATTAAGATGTATGTATACAGACAAAATATTTAACAATTTACTCTTTTTCAGTCAAGTGCTGCGAATTCTTTATTTTTATACATTCGATTATTTTTAATAAGGGACTTTATAACTATTATTGACCACGTACTTGCAAAAAGTAAATTAACAGTGAAAATGTCATAATATGATTCATATCCTAACATCCAATTTCCTAGAGTACTACTATAATTTATTCCGAAAACAAGAAACCGTCTTTCAAAGGTTACCCACCTAGAATATTAAATCGGAGTCTGTTGTAATATACTATATACGCATTGATCATGTACTACGACGAAAATGTAATTTGTCATTATGGACTGAAATAATAATGTTTTTCATTTCACTGATATTACATGCTGTTACGAATATAAAAAAAAATACAGTGCGCATTTTTAGTGCAGTTATGTGTTAGAACAGTTATAGATGCGTTAGAAAAATTAGTATAGATAGTACGGTTATAAATATCAAGAAAATAGTATTTGTTAAAGTTTGCTAGTAAATTTGTCCTAAACATTTCAATTTTACAAATATTTACGAAATTCGTTTTAATTTATAATCATAAATTTATTAATGCTCAGAGTCCCGTTGACTATATTTCAACCGGAAATGTTAATTAGTCGGAAAAACAACAGTGAAAACGAACGAAGTCTCCTAATTTCGTTTTCACTATTGTTGAGCAGCGCCGACGTAGTGTACTTTCCCTCTCGTTCGAATTTCAATGTCGTCCGAGAAGAACGTTTTACGACACAAATACGAAAACGTAAACGAACAAATTTGACCTACAACGATCGAGTTTTGAAACCTGTATTATTACTCTGCTTCCACTGGTTTAATACGCGAAATGGAAATAATATATTACTCGTTCGAACGGTGCAGTTATTCATTTAAATTTCATTAAAGCCGAACAGAAATTCCCATTTACACAAAGAGCCGCCACCGCATTTAATTCTATCGCTTAAATAATTCGTGTATCCTTAATTCGTAAAGTGGGAAGGGGTGAATCGAGCGTGGAAATAGAATAAAATAATGAAGACATACCTTCGCCACGATGAGCCGCTTTGAAATATAAAAAACATTCAGTGCGTCATTGGGTTTCGTCGAAATAAAAACACGGACACCTTTTAAAAACTTGTTCGTTTCAAAGATTTGTCAAATGGAAACGAGTGTCGTGAGGACAGTGAACGGATGGAGTTTCTTCGGATTCTTCACTCGTTTCGTGGAAATAATAATTCACAGGAATTCGCGTGTAAATTCACGAACATTCGAGCACCAAAATTTTCATTAGTATTTAGACACGTGCTCGTCGAACGCAATATCGCCGAACACGTCAAGCCTCCAATCCGCACTGAATACTTGAATTCGACTACTCGACTAAGTCTCGTTGAAACACGAACCTTACACCCCTCCCCACCACTCGCCCTTTCGGCGAGCCAGCAGGCTTCCCTCGACCAATCGAAAGAATGCATTTTTACCCCTCATTCGAATCGGTGATTCACACCCCCACACTACCCTTTACCCAGTGGAACTCCTTACAATTTCTCTGGACTACCCTTTCTTCCTACTTTCTCCGAATTCACCGTTTCTTCCTGCGGTACCAGCAACTGGCGTATCTAAGAATAATCTACCGATGTAATTTCTAATTTTCCCCTGAGTACAATTTACTAGTAGAATTTAAAGGACAAACGATTTAAATGCCCAATTCCGGAATTTCGTTGGAGTAATAATATTACTATTTATATATCTGATACTTCTATTTCTTCTATTTTCCTTTTGAATTGGACTCGAAACAGTCTGAGATATCCTGAACGTTAACGTAATAAAAGAAAACTTTTCTGTGTGAACGTATGTGCAACAAGAACTCCGATTAACTATATAAATCTAGTAATACCTAATATAATAAAATATACAAACAATTGAAAGAATACACGTTGCAATGTACAGTTTTAAACAGCTTTTAAACGAGGTTCAATGGAGACCGTACGCAAAGATTCAAAGTACCATTTGTACGGAGATAAATATAAATGATAAAAAAGAGACAGAAAAACAGAAGATTTTGTTACAGAGCGTCTGCCACAATCACAGTCACTATTACAACCTGTATCACTGTCACCTTGAACAACTCCTCGCCAGTGGATACGTATGTGTACGCAGTTCACGCAAGTGTCCTCGTACGTTCCGTTTTTACGAGATGAACCTTAGTCGTTCTGTGTCATCCCTGGTAGTAAAGAGTTTGATTACAGCACCTTGTACAGCGTCTGAATGCATGTACCCACGTAGCCAGCACCTACATAGTCGGCCAGAACAATTTCCATCTAAGAAGAGGGAAGAGCGCGTGCGCTGCGAAATCATGAATGGAGCCACCGCTCAATGCGAGTCCGGCTACACTGTCACAGTCATACAGCCACTCCACTTTTATTTATATCCGAGCAACGATGACCTTCAACCAAGGTAGGGTTGATCAGACAAATCAGGTTTCGCATCTTCCGAGGAACAGGTGGGATCGGATCCATTGCGAACGATTACGACGTACTAGACAATATTACTGTGAAATCAAGGAGATCTCTTGAACAGCCAACAGGATTATCATTAATCCATTCCAGTTGGAATTATATATTCCTTTCACTGCTTTGCAATACTTTCACCTTCCCCAGGTGTACAACGTGGTGGTTCAACGAACATCGTTCGCCACGGAATTTGTTTGACAACGTAATTTGACTTTATGCTGACAGATTTAATATTTACAGGAATTCCCTTGGATAATTAACATTAACCGTACTGTTAACCGGTTTAAATATTCGGATTTTAAATTCTGGGCTTTCTTCCGTGCATTCAACTTTAATATCAATTTCTATATTTATCGATTAATTAGGATTCAATTTTAAAAGATTTGTCATTTAACTTGTTTGTCTTTATTTTATATATTATTCATTATTTTATATATTATATATATTTTTTTTATTATTTTATTTGATTGGTAGGAAAAGAGCCGGTAAGGTTTTAATTTTAATTTTGGAAGTTTGTTCATTTCTACGGTAGTTAAGCTCAGCATAGGTGAATTTGTATGTTTCTTAATGTTGCGATATAAAATGTAACCGTAGATTTCAATTAATATAAATATATCTAAATATATAAATATAAATATATCTAAATTAACAGAAGTAAATAATGATATATTGTAGATAGGTAGGAATGATGCATTATGAAAAAGGTACATCTTGAGAATGGTACTATGCCATTAGCAGAATCGTTGGTGTCGTTTCAATGTACGAGAAATTAATTTTGTTAAAAACATCAATTGACGTATGAAGAATTAACGCGCCACGGGTTTATGAATGAGAGGCTTGGGTATGAGAATCACGTGTCCGGACGCTGTAGTGCTTTAACGATCGAAAGCATCCTGCTTGCCCTTTCTCGAGCTTTATCGCACCTTTCTCCCTCTTTCCTTTCGATAACTGTGAACTGTGAATTGACGTCTTAATGCCAATGCTTTAATTAACTGTAACAGTCGATGATTGCATAAACAATCAGCGAAACAAGTAAATTTTAATAACAGTTTAAAGAAATGTAAGAATTGGAAATACAGAAAATAAGAAATTTTATTTTTCTTCTTCGTTTACAAGGAATACAGTTTATATATTCCGCATTTCTAAATATGTACTGCATTCTAACACCTAATTTATGTTTATTATAGAACAGTTATTCCAGAAATGTATAAATTGAATTTTTGGACATGGTAAAATAGATTCGAAGTTACTGTACAATCGCACCGTGAAAGATGTAGTTCGAAATTACAAAATGATCTATTTGAAAAAGGTATCTTTAGAGTAATGCTCAGCTTAACGCCATTTTCGTGTCATGTTTGCAATTAACGTCATCGAAATAGCATCAGTTGTTCGTCACAAAAATTCATCAAGTTGAAGACGTTTTCCCTTCGAAATTATTGTACGAGCAACTGACGTTCACATCTGTCGAATGTATGTTCGTTTAAAATTTGTAGGATCTTATATAAATAATATTAATTGAAGTAAGTTTAATTCGATCCTTGAATATAGAGTTTCCTCTGGTTTCGTTATTTAACTGTTTACGTTGTATTTCTCTTTGCACGTAACGTATTATGACCTGACCCTTAAAAATCAATAGAAGTTTGGATATCATAGCACAGCATTAAATACCAACGATCTCGAATATACTACAAACTCATTCACTAGCGTTTAGGTTGAATAATAAATTCGAGGATTCATTGTTTCAGTGTTATACACAGTTCCTACGTTTGATTCAAAGCACTGCACCAAATTTCCGAAATTTTTGCAGAAAACAAGGTGTAGGATGGTGCGTGGGTGTTACACAGTTACTTAGGCGTAGGCGTAAAAGTAGGCGGATACATCGGGGAGAGGATAGAATCGTTGAGTAATCCGTGTTTGCAGTATGTATGCGCGTGCGCAACTTTGCCAAGTTCAGATATACAGGAAAATAAAAAATTTCATCCTTGAGAGTTGTAAAAGGTTCGAAATTTTCATTAAGGAAAAGGACGAATACATGCATTGCGCAAACCATTGAAAATTCTGTTATATTCGAGGAGAAAAGAGTAACAAGGGTACGAGCAAAAATACTAAAGTTCGATTGAACATTATATTGTACTGCACATCAGTTATTAATTCAGTTTAATCGTACACTAATAAATAATATAATTCGATATTATACATGTTTCTTTTGACAACAGAATCTTCGAACGAAAAGAGATAACCTCAGTTATCGAATACACGTGCATATCTCGATTTAATAATCGAGAAACATAAGAATTTTGGAAACAGTTATTACGTATCGATGTTTAAGAAAACCTAATAAAACGAAATCATAAAGTACTTTTCTTATACTTGTTTCAGTGATGGAAGTAATAACTATTTGCAGCATAAATTCTGATAGAAACGATCTGATTGACATGAAAGCTGCCGTAATAAATAGGAATTTGTGAATACGCTTTTTCAAAAAGCAAGGATACTTGAACAGTAAAGATAGAAAATATGAAGTTTATTTTCTTTGTATGATTTTGGTTAATGTTTATGTGAAGATTGGGGAAAATTTGTTATGAAACAAAGGGATTTGTAATTTTTGTTGCACCATTCTTGAATTGCCCAGTATGTCCTACACCTACACAGTGTGCGTGGGCGTCGCGGTGGAGGCGTCGTGGTAGTTTGCTCCTGCGATGACCTTGGAAGCACTCACGTCACTAAAATAGATCACTGTGCAGGGGTGTCGTTCATCGACGTCCCGACCATTCTTCTCGATTTTCCTCCCTATTCGCTATCTATATTTCCCGTGCGCCATACAAAACGCTCGTGCTCCCTCTGAACAGGGAAACATAATCCAGAATTCGTGTAAAATCACGAAACCCATGGTCTCACAATGATTTCGATGCTCATTTTATGTGCTTTCGGTTATTCGTAAATGAAATACTCGTCCATGTTAGGAGACACATTGAAATTGTCTTTATTTATGAAATATTTTAAACTATAAATAAACGTACTAAGAAAATACCTGTTTCTATTACACTTTAATTATAGAGTTTATTACGTGTAGTTCATTACAAAAACTCTTCCAGTGAAATATTTCGTTATTGCAATTAGTGTGATTGCTGTGCCTTTTATAAAAATATTTGTATATTGAAAATCAATTTTCCGTAAATCGTGGGAGATATTATTTACGCAGTACTGGTTAATTGTGATGTTCCAATAAATGAAACTGTTTTAATGTGCAAAATTTGAATCTAATGATTCACAATTTGTTTAACAACTTCAATTGTTCTTGATAATAATTAGTCAGAAATATTGAAAAGAAATTTCAGAATTATTGAGATAAAATAATTAAAATAAACGTTTTATGATATACAGTTCCTTTTGTGCTAAATTTATAATGAATATGATGATATCAGAAAAATAAATTATCATGAAAACATTTACATTTATAGCTTAAAGTTAAAATTTGGATTATAAATTAGAAAATACATTTTGAAGAATGTTAAACGGTATACAGAGTTTCCTCAGTTAGAAGTTTTATGGAACAGTTTCATTGGACGAACTATTGAGTCGTTGGTTACCTACTGGAAGCTTAACAGTACAAAGAAAAAGGACACTGTGCATTGTAATTCAAGGAGTAGTGGGGACAGGTACCAGGGAAGTTTACTAGGATTATTCATAAACAGTCCTGAACACATCCGTTAAGAAATGTTCAAGCTCGAGTATCTGTCCATTTTTGGAAAGAAAATTTAGTATTGCTGTAAAAGATTGCACATATATTTTTTATCTATAAGGAAAACAATACACATCTACTATTTCAAATTAATACGAATTAAATGAAGTAAAATTTAATAAAATCATTGTATAAATAATCAAATAAAAATTCATTCAGTAAGATGACAACAAAAGGAAACTTTATGCTAATATTAATTTGCACTTAATAACAATGTCAATTCGAAAATATATTTTATTATTTGCAGTTTAAGTTACTTTCGTAAATATGACGACAATCTTAATGTTATGTGTATAAAAATGTTGATATCAATTAAATAAGGAAATTTATTACTCGATATGCATGTTTATTTAGCAATATTTGCTACCCTTTTTGTTTAGTTTACAGAAATTTTGTTTAATGAACTGTTTTTTGAAAAGTTTAATTAATACTTAGACTAACTTTAACTTAGAAAGCAGCGAAGCTAAAGAAGTCTCGTATAATATTAATAAATTGTATAGAAATTATTAAGCAAACTTTTATTTCCGGTTGCTGGCAAATTGTCAATTTAAAAATTTGTGTAGAACGATATAAAATAGAAATGGGTAAATAAAAATATTATAGAAATATTTATTATGTAGTTCGATCTAGAATGTTTAATTTCCATTTATTACTTTACACGGAAACCCAAATGAATACACAATATTACAGATGTTTTCAAGACATCAGGGAATATTCTTTCATTTGGTGGAAAAGCGACCTTACCAAGATTATCCGCGGCAACGACCACCAGGTGCAGATGATTGGTGCAGGCTATTGTACCCAAAGTTTGTCAGGTACCTAAGTAGGTACACTCAGTGTAGAATGAGAGGTCAGTTGAAGTTTCTTCGTTTAGTAGCAATATTAAACTGAACATATGCATATTTCCAGCCATAAAAAGAAGTTTATAAATAAAAATTAATGATTTTATATCTACAACAAATTACATACTATATATTCAACGAGAGATTAATACTTGTATATACAATAATTCATGAAACTAATTGTTTCTAAGTATAAAACTGTTTATTTTAATAGTTGGGTTACGTGAAGTTAATAATAAATAATAATAGATAATTCTATAAACTAAAATAAGACGAAAATCACGAGTAACGAGAATGTCAATTCGGCTTTGTTTTTAAATTGTTAGTGATTAAAATCCGCTAATGGAAACACGAGTATTGAAGATATCAAAGAGATATTTAATTGTTACTCACTTGAAGGTGAAGCTAAAATTGCAGTTTCATCACATTTACTTTACGACTTACTTCGATATATATGTTCACCCTTAAAGTATTTGTGACACGTACTTGAAAATCTTTTATATGAATGAAACTACCAAGTTATGTCGGTTTAAATTAATTAATTAAAGAATACATAATAATATTCATGATATGAATTTTAATTACTGCACTTAAGTAAAATTTAAACATACTTAAAGAAAGGAAAGCTTAATGGTCAGAAATATTGAGAACAATTCTTTCAATGTAAAGTCTACGTTTGTACTAAAAAATATTTGATATTATAAATAAACGCTTCATTAATGCGATAATTTATAACGATACAAAGCATTGAAATATTTTTAAAATATTTTATTATAGGAATATTTGTCTTGTTTTAATAGAAGAGTACTATATATGAATATATTTTTGTTGCAGTTGTTCGCATTGTTAAATTATTTATATATTCTACATTTTTAATGCCTCGTACCGTATTCACTCAACTAATTATATTTAAAGATTAAATTAAAAACAACCCTTTCTTTGAAATTTAAATTATATCATTCCACTGTAGCACATGATGGCCAATATTAAAAAATCAACGTTGCTAATTCTATAAAAATATAGCAGTGAATAATTTGAATATTGCATTTTATATTAAATTATAAATTGTATAAGTGATAATAATAAAAGTAATATAATAATTTCATGTAGACACATATTATTCTTATAATTGCATGTATGTTTGTCATTCTAACCTATTTCATCTACTAGTATTGTAATTGTAAATAAACATCCAAAAGTTGAATATATTAATTAAACACTAAGTCGATATATTTGATACAATGAAAATATAATATTTTGTTAAAGAATTTATGTAATATACTTATTTATATAAATCATTGTCAAATAATCATGGAAAATCCTCCAAAAATAGAAACTTTAAATGAGATTACTTCTGATATGGTAAGCTTCAAAATATAAATTCATACATGTGAAATTATTTATTTAATTTAACATCTATTTACGATGTAGAAATGAATTGTCATTTCTGCTAGTTCTATTATTTTGTTATAACATAATATATTCTATTATATTATACTTTATTATTTGAATTATAGTCAGAATCATTGACACAAGAGACAGCATTACAAGAGGAGATAAATACAACAGTATTGATACTTAATGAATCTCGTGAAAATGAAATTTTAAATGAAAAATTGGAAGAATCTAAATTGGAAGAATTACAAGATGAACATTCCAATACAATTCCAACAATTGTCCAAGAAAATAATACCAATATAAAAGAAGAAGTATTACATTGTATTAATCATATTTGTTATAAATGGGATAATTCACCAAAATTATTATGTGAAACAACAAAAGACTATCAACCTACTGAATTATGTGAAAATTTTACAAAAGGTTGTCAATGGTCCCCTGATGGAACATGTCTGTTAGTACCTTCAGAAGATTTCAGACTTAGAATTTATGAACTTCCTCAAAACTTATATTCTGAGAAAATTTCTTTAAATGTAACACCTACCAACATTACTCCAGTATTAACTATGAAAGAAGGAGGTCTTATATATGATACATGTTGGTATCCTTTTATGAATTCTTGGGAACCTGCAACCTGTTGTTTTCTAAGTACAAGTAGAGAAAGTCCAATACATTTATGGGATGCTTTTAATGGGGAATTACGAGCAACATACAGAGCTTATAACCAGTTAGTATTAAAATTTTTTATTTTTGTTTGAAACAAGGACAATGTTCTGATATTTTATTGTACACTTCTTTGTAAGAAAATTCAAAAATCTATGCTATTGTACTAACAAATATTTTTCATTAAATAATTTTATACACACTATTATCAAGAAGAATTAACAATGTAAATTTATTTCAATTTTGTAAAAATTGTTTATTCATGAAAAATATTCTATTAAATTATAATAATATATATGAATAAGTTAAGATATATATTATTTTATTATACTAGAGTTGATGAAGTAGAAGCTTCAATTAGTGTTCAATTTATTGATTCTGCAAGAGAAATATGGGCTGGTTTTAAAAATGCTTTAAGAACTTTTGAAGTGGAACGCCCAGGTCGTCAAATAAGTACTATTCAATTCAAAAAAGATTTTCCAAATGTTACTGGATTAGTTTCCTGTATTCGAGAAAATCCGATCATGCCTGGATTAATTGCTTTTGGTACATATTCTAAATACATTGGTAAGTACTATAAATAAACAAAAAAACATTAGTACTGGACAAGTAATGTAATGTAAAATATTATTTATTTATATTTTTGAATATTTAGGTTTATATAAAAATGGACCACTATGTTCCTTTAAAACAGGAAATGGAGTAACTCAAATTGAATTTAGTCCTTGCGGTACAAAATTATTTTCAGCTGTTAGACGTAGTGGTGAATTTTTATGTTGGGATCTTCGTAATCCAGGCACTGTACTTTATTCACTTCAAGGACGTCAGTCTGATACAAATCAGAGAATATACTTTAACATTACATCTGATGGTAAACAAATAGTGTCAGGTACGTTAATGAATAATTATATTGTGAATTGTTATCAGAAACAAAGAATTCTTTTTTTCTTTCTTAAGGTGGAATTGATGGAAGCATTATTATTTGGGAATTACTGGACAGCACAAGTTATACAGATCTTAATTTGACACACAAAATAAAGTTATCTACTGATTGTATTAATGGAGTGAGTTTACATAATAGTTTACCCATACTGGCTACTAGTACAGGACAAAGATTATGCGATAGTGATATAGATTATAGAGATAATAATGTTAGATTGTGGTATATCTCTTGATAATGTAATTATGAATTAAATTAATGTAAATAAAAGTTGGTTTTTTATTACAATTAAATATAATAATTTTTATTATAATAACTATGTGTCTGTTATTTTAATTACCACTATGTAAATGTATAAAATTATTTGTTGAACTATGTTTTAAATATTATATCTTTTACTTTGTTCACATAATACTTTTTTATTAATATAATTAACACTAACATTATTAGAAATTCTATGTTTTATTAAGTTTGATGTGTTA